TTACACCTGGCAAGATGAGCCCAGCACCCTCCCAGTCCTTAATTTTCCCAAAACCACGTGCTCTGCAATGTCCAGCTCTCTCCTATTCAAAATCTTAAATAGCGCAGAGTCATGTGGTGCCCAGTCAAATGCCTTACAGAAGTCTAAGTATATTACCTTTGCCTTTATCAACCACATTTATAATTTCATTAAAAAAAGATACCAACTTAGTTTGACAAAATCTATTCTCCATAAATCCATTTTGATTTGCGGTAATTATATTACCCTTTTTTAATTCTTTGGTAACTTATCCCCATATCAGCTGTTCCATTATTTTGTCTGGGATCAACGTTATACTGATACATCTGTAACCGTCTGGGTCATGTCATTTATCCTTTTAAAATTCTGGGACAACATTAGCTTTCTTCCAATCTTCTGAAACTTCCTCAGTTGTTACAAGACTTATTGAAAATCAACATTAATGGTCCAGAGAGCTCTGTAACCAGTTCTCTTAAAACTCTTGGATGCAAGTTATCTGGACCTGATGATTTGAAAATGTCTATTTCAGTTGCTGCTCTTTACAGCCCAATACTATCTCAGGAGGCTGTTAAAGCATTTTATCATCATCATCTGACACGAATATATCCTCTCTCTCTCTTCTTTTTTTTTTTTCAGTGTGGTTTCATGTTGGGAGCACATCAGACCAGTGCTCCATGATCTACATTGGCTTCTGATAAGCTTCTGGGTAGAATTTAAAGTGTTGGTTTTAACCTATGAAACCCAGAATGGTATGGGAGCTGGTTACCTTAGCAATCACTTTGTCCTTGTGATACATTACTACAGCTGAAATCAGCAGCAAGGCTTCAGTATAAATGAGAGAGCGAGCTGCTGACTGCTCTGTTTTGGACCTCACACCCTCACTTTGTCTGCTGGTGCCCAACTTATTACTCTTCTGGGCACATTGCAAAGCCCGTCTTGTCCCCCTCTTTAAGTCTGTTGAGGTAGTTATGGGTGGAGATATATTTACAGTCCTTTTGCTTATGTTGTGATTTTTAATTGAGGACATAGGTGCCCAGAACCCTGGATATTTTAAAAACTGAAAGTAGTAATAGTATTTAATGTATTTAGCCTTGCAGCATCCTTTGGGGTGGACACGTATTATTACCCCTGTTTTTACACATGAGGAAAGTGCAGCCCAGTGAAGTGAGTTGCACATTCTTAAGAAAAATCTGGGGCAGTTCCAGGAATAAAATCCAGGTCTCCTGAGTCACAGTCCTGTGTGTTAATCCATGAGACTGTCCTTCCTCTGCACGATATAGGAAGTGCAAACAATGTGTTCAGCACATGTTGGACATACAGACAAGTATGGTATGTGGAGAGCTGTTAAAGATCAGTGGTAAATGGTATATGGCGATGTGACCATATGCATTTTGCGAGGGTTAAATAAATCCCCAAAATATAAACATGCCTATGTTTATAAAAGATTCTTTAGTTCGTATAAATCATCTTTTCCAAAGCTGCAAAATATCTGTACAGTAGATCAGTTAGCGCAAGGACTGCTTTGTTCTCTCCTTGTGCAGATTTGTTTGTTTGACATTGGTGTGAGTGTAATACACGGATCGTAGAATTTGACTGTTGTTGAGCAAGAAGTCAAAAGTCCTTTTAATAGATGGATGGGATGCTGCAAACTTGATAGTCACTCATAAATCTTGCTATATGTGCATGTGATTAATGTCTAACGAGTTTTTTGATTGATGGTCTAGCAACTGTTAATCAAATGTTATAGGAACAAATCCTGAAATCCTTACTTCATCCTCTGGTGAAACTCCTATTCAATTTGGTAGGCAGAACAATGTGGTTTTATTGATTTTAAAGTGTAAACTGACTGTGGGTTTTATAAGTACATGCCCGGGCTAATAATTTTTGACACTGAAATATGGAGTTTATTAAGGCCTTGTGTTGTGAGGATTGCAGGGGGGAGAACTGTTGGAGATGTTGGGGTGGAAGAGATGCAGAAGATGTTGAGGTGGATGAAGACAAGCTGAGAAATATGTAGAGTACAATTGGCCTATGGAACTCATACAGCAGGATGCTGTTGAGGCAAATAACTGAGTAAGATGGTTTTTTTTAACAGACGTTTTCAGACATGTAAATAAGATCTGCTTTGTTAAAAATTACAAGGGCTTCAGCTGATCCCCTGCTGGGGACAGGAAGTAATTTCCCCCATTGTGCCGTGTTTTACAGTTGGTCAGTTGCATTTAAAGATAGCTTTTTCTCTCTCAAGAACTTGGTCTCACTGCTGGAGTCAGGACACATGGAGCAGTGTCTGATCCAGTGTGGTTTCTCCTATGTGCATATTGGTATAATTTATCTGTTTTTCAATAGCCATACATAGTGAGAGCCAGCCCTTTTCCTCCATGGAATTAACCAAAAGCCAAAGGAGCGGTCATATATAAAAAGCTCATCTTACCTATCTCAGGTTCTGGTGACATCACAGCCACCCATGTGATTTCCCCTTACAGTTTGTGGTTGTCTTCAAACCCCTCTTAAGACTGTATGACCATATTGCCATATATTTTGGTGTTTGTCTGATGATGATCTTCTGGCAAGACCAGTTCTTTGTGGTTCTAGTTTAATTCTTTGCTGACATATAGTAATCCTTGAGTAAAATACTGCATTATTCACTTCAGTTATCCTACTCATGTTAGCTCTAGATTTAGGATAGTTTCAAAGTCATGGGGCCCATTATGAGTACGTTCTGTCCATGAAATGAGAAACATTGCCAAGCTTTTTTTTCCTGGAAAATATTTTAAATGACCTTTTGTTATTTTCAAGGCTATGGCTTGAAGTAAACAAAGCAAACACCTAACCAGAGAATACAGAGCAGCGCTGGTACATTACTGGGGGAAAAAACCTCACAATAAACCTTAGTGTAGTAATTAGTTTTTATGTGGCAGGAATCATGCTTGTATTTTAAAACCTTCTCGCAGATGAAGTTTTAATTGAGATATTTTAGGAATTGAAATCAAGTTACCTTTATTTAATTGTGTTGTATCTTTTTGGAGCAATTCTCAATAGTTTCTAATTAGTGGCATGATATCATTTGCCTAGATATTATTTCCTAGATATTACTTCTTAGTAATTTGTTTAAACATGTGCAGCACAGTCCTGATGTATTCCTCTCATTACACTCAACACTTTGATTGGGTTTGGCTGGCTCATAATAGAATGGAATGTGGAATGTGTTATCAATAGCTCCAAGATTCTTAAAGCTTCCTGAGTATATTCGGGGAGTTTAATTTCTTGACAAAAGTAAGTTTATTGTTTTGGTTTTGTTTTCTTAAACTACGTTAGGTTCCTTTATCTCTCCAGAGCCAACACAACTCAAAGTGAATGAGCTGGAGTGTAATCCTGTTTCTGCATAATGAACAGAATTATTTACTAAATAGTAGTTCCTGGGCCAATCAGTTAGTTTTTTGCTGCTCCACTGAAGGTATTGGGGTTGCATAGATTTCACCGAGGGGTGTTATTTGCCCTGTAGAACTTTCATCATTGATGATGGGCTAGAAGAAAACGCAGCTCGACTGAGAGATCCTAAATTGCGCGTGCAGAGCTGGTAGCAAGGGAGGGGAAATCCATATTCTTATTTGAATCGAAAGTACATTTGGTCTGGTAATCATGGAGAGACAACCATGCCATATTTTTTCAAAAACAGGACCCTCATTTTAAGCTGTATGCAACAACCCATGTCTCCCAAGTCCCAGAGAAGTGTACCAACCACTGGACTATCCTTCCTCGTTCTCTAATTCAAGTACTTTAGAGGCTCTGCTGGGAAAGCCTGAGGCTTCACAGCAGATAAGTGGCATAGTCAGGGGGAAAATTGAGAGGTTCGTTGCTACTAGACAGGCTTGTGTGCACACTCTCCTCTTTTTTTGTGTCCATCACTGTAGTATCTAAGTATGTACACTTGTGCTCAGCTCACTAGACCATAAAGCTTCCCTCCCTGTAATCAGCTTGAATTCAGGTGCTTATTCAACTATATGAATTAACAGCACTTTTTAATCTCTCTCGTTAAATATATCCATGTAAATATTCCAGGTGTGTGGTACATATATTTAAAGGGATACGATGATGTAGTTTATGCCCTAAATTTAAGTTTTTTAAAAAAAGAAACATGTCTTATAAAAACCGATCTAAAAACAAATAATTTAATCATGTGCTGTATTTCAGTAGAGTTGGTATTTTGTGTTTTGGGGGAGGTAGTGTGGATATCTATGTGGTACAGAAAATTCAAACACAGCGGCACCGGGCTGGTGCAGTAGAACCAAACATTGGAAATAGGCTGACCAGATGTCCCGATTTTATAGGGACAGTCCCGATTTTTGGGTCTTTTTCTTATATAGGCTCCTATTACCCACCACCCCCTGTCCCGATTTTTCATACTTGCTGTCTGGTCACCCTAATTGGAAATAGTAAACAGAAGGGGAGTAAAGTATCTAATTCCTTCATTTTAAATGATCTTAAAGCCTTGTCTACACTGTGAAATTTTGTAAACTCCTCCCCCCCCCCCATCATTGCTGAACAAGTTCAGCTTCAGTGGCGTCAGCAATATTGGGAGGCCTTGTCTAGACAGGCTGTTGCTAGTGTTTTAAGCATTGTGACATGGAACTTTGGTAATAATAGGTCTGTAAACACCAGCTGCCAAGCTACAGTAGGGTTCTCAATGTTGCTAACATCAGTGGAGTTGTACCAGTGTTGACAGCATCTGAAAAATTTTGCAAAATTTCTGGAATGTAGACATTGCTTTTATGGTTCTCTTAAATTTGATGATTGATTCAGGAGCTTTGATTCATCGAAAATCAATTGGACTTAGGCTCGCAAGTCACTTAGGCACTTTTAAAGATTTTACCAATTGTCGTTTTTTAGTTTAGCAGTGTCCTGTTAAGACACTTAGGATTTGTGAATAAACTTGCATCGCTGTTCTATTTCAAATGTTGCATTCCTCTTCTCCCTGCTCCCAGATGCTGCTGACAGAATACTTGGATATGAAGAACACTCGGACTGCTTCAGAACCATCAGCCCAGCTTAGCTATGCCAGCTCTGGGAGAGAATTTGCTGCTTTCTTTGCAAAGAAGAAACCTCAAAGGCCTAAAAACCCTCTGTTCAAGTAAGTGTTGTTATGATGCCGGAATAGTACCTGGCATTGAGGTTGTCTCTGGAGCATCAAGTATTGTGCACTTCTAGCAGTTAATAACGTTTTCAGACACTTCAAATGGAAATGAACTACCAGAGCTGGAGCTTGTCTGTCATCCTAGAGCCGTATTGCTGATTCTTCTTCACTCTTTATATTACAGGAGTGTCCAAAGGCTTCACTCAGGAATGGGGCCCCCTTGTGCTAAGTGTTGTCCAACATGTAGTAAGACATCATGCCTGCCCTGACGCGCTTACAGTTGAAGTAAAGCACAAAAGCACCCAAGCGAGAGCAGAAATCAAAGGGCTGCACAGGGAAAAGGAGAACAGGACAAACAAGATCATTGTGTAAAGACTAGGCGGTTAATCATCACGTTTTTAAGGAAAAATTTTTGAGCGAAATTGGAGTTGAAAGTGTGGAGTAGAATGAAGCAGGTGGGAGGGGAATGTAGGAATAAGAGTAAGGGGGAGTGGGAGTTGGATATGAGAGAGAAAGAAAATGTGGGGAAGCAATTTGACTTCCAGAGTGAGGGAGGTTGGTGGGGTCTGGGGAATAATACAGATAGGAGAAGAAGATTGGCCTTGTCGTTAAGGCACTGGGTAAGGAGGGGACTTGTGTTTGATTCCCATCTCTGCCACTGGCTTCCTGCACTAGTCTCTAACTTCTCCCTGCCTCATTTCCCCAGCTGTAAAATGGGGATCTTAATACTTCCTTTCTCCCCACCCCTTTGTCTGCCTTGTCTATTTAGACTAAGCCCTGATGGACCCAGGATTGTCTTTCATTATGTATTTGTATAGGGCTTAACATAAAGGGGACCTGATCTCAGCTGGGGCCTTTGGGCTCTGTTGTAGTACAGATACATAATAATAATGAGGAGGAACTTCAGGCAGAGAGGAGGAACAGCAGGGTAGCAGAGACGGAAAATGTGAAGTCCAGATTTAACAAATCCAGTCAATCTGTTGCTCTGAGGAAACTGGAAGGAAATGAATGTGGGCGTAGGCCTGTCCTGCTGGAGTTGGAGGTGGGGGTCCTCCTGGCTAGGTTGGCTCAGCATGTGGAAATGGGAAAAATGCAGGAACTTGGCATCCCTGGATGGCTTGCACTAACTTTGTCAGTAGGCTGGGTTGGGAGAAGATGTGTCCTGCATTAACACTCTTCTGCACTGCTGAAGCAGCTGTTTGGTGGTGGGCCTCTTTCCAGCCCTCCCTAAAGCTTCTCTTGCTTTCTTTAATCATTAAGAACCAGCCGGTGGCCTCCTTATTTTTTCTTTCTTTTTTTTTTAAACCACTAATACAAATAATAATTATTATGTTATCTAATCCTTAACTATAGCAGACACTGGCAGTCTGCTCTAAGTTTTTATTGTCTATGTTCTGGTAGGGCCTAAAGGGCCAATGAGAAATCAGGGCTCCTTGTGCAAGGCACAATACACACACACAGTGAAAAGGTGATCCGAGCCCCAGAGAGCCTACAATTCACTAAACATAATCCCCTGGTATCAAAGGCTTTCACTTTTTCTAAATAGTTCTCCAAACATCTGGTCCACCCGTGGCTGATCCAATGGGTGGCTTTAGATCCACATCCCCAACATATCTCTCTCTCCAGATTCTCTGTCTACTCTGCCAGAACTCCCCTTTGGATTTAATTCCATTGCTAAACTGACTTGCAGATGTGCTTTGAAGCACCACAGGGCTGCTCTCCTTTCTCCATTGCTTAGCATGCAAATTCTGAGGCGTTCTCAGCCCCTCTCAGTATGAGGAGTGAGGAGGATGAATTCATCTGCTCTGTTTCACCCACAGCACTCTAAGCCTGTGTACTCATTTCTATCAGTTGAAAATGAAGTTAAGGATAATTGCTTAACGTGATGGTGCCTAAGTTCATAAGAATAGCCATCTTTTACCACTCAGGCTCTTGTCACTAAGTCACTGCTAGCACCTTAGTGACAGTGATGCTTATCAGGATCTCTCATTCTGTTATCTGTCTCCTGTCAGCTGTCACTACATCCATGGAAATCTCTCTGTTGAAATGGAATTTCTCTATCCACCGAGGGATGCACATGTTTGATAAAGTCATATTCTTGTCGTCTATTCCATCTTCATGTTTTTTCTCTCTGAACAGAGAGGTTCTCTTCCTTGTATTTCCATCACCTGCTTCCAATTTAGAGAAGCCATCCACTTGTCATAAAAATCTCTGTGTTTAGAGTCCCGACTTTGGAAATCACTTGAACAGGAGATGGAGCCTTGCTCTCGTAGACAGATAGAGCTGTATGATGTGTGAGCACTTGGTATAGTTCCTTGGAAGTGAATTTTGTAGATACTGGGTAGAGGGAGTGTGATCTAACAGCACCAGTGGAAATCAGAACTTCTGGGTTCTGTTCTTGAGATTTTGAGACTGACTTGGTGTCATTTGGACAAGTCATTTAATTGTTCTGTGCCTCAATTTCCCCATCACTGAAGTGAGTGTAATACCCATACAACAGGGCTGTTGTGTAGCTTACCTGATGAATGCTTGTAAAGAACTTTGAGATCTTCAGATGAAAGGCCCTACATAAATTCAAATGATAATTTATACTGTAATATGCCCTAGTCAGTCATGGCTCCATACATAGTGTCCATACTGTGAAGAGCTGGCAATCTGAACAAGCAAAAACGATACCCATGTTGTGTGGGAAAGGGATGGGTGCATAAGCAAAGTTGTGATGCGTCCACAACGTGTTAAGCTCATGTTTTGGGGTTTTTAACACATATGACTATATATTTGTTTTATTTATATTATAAAAGCATAGTTTTAGAGACTTTTTTTGTTGGAATCACTTGGGGTTGAAGTGGGGGAAAGGAAAGGATTGCATGAGTAAGAGAAGGAAATGGAAACTGGAGGCAGGGAGCAGAGAGGAGGGGTGGTGAGAAGTTAAGCAAGGCAGGGGGAGTGTAAAGTTGGATAGCGGTAGGAGAGGGATGTGCTGTAGGGGGCCTAACAACAGATGACAGTACAGCAGCTGAGAGGAAAAATCCGGTGTCCAGGTCTCAGAGCTGAGTGAATGATAATACTGGGAGGCTGATAAGGCTTGCTGCTGTCATGCGCCATCAGAGAAGTCTTCCGGGCTTGGAGCCTGGGTGGGTCTCTGTGTCTGGTGGGAAGCTGGAAGGCTCTTTCCCTGCCTGTCCCCCAAGCTCTATCTAGTGCCGGCTGCTTTGAGGAAAGACTTTCAATGGAGATTTCCGTTGTTAGCTCCCTATGGGCACCACCTGGCTGCTGCTGAGGCAACACAATAATAAATAATTGAATAGTTTGTTACTCCTACTTTTCCAGGGGAGTATTGAGTTTTAATCACTGGCTGCAGCACTTCCTTGTTAAGAGCTGAGGTGTGTGCTTAGTGTGTGGGTTTGGTTTTGTGGATTCCACCTGTTTGCTGGGCCTTCTCTGTTTGGAACGCGCCTAGCTGTCAGAGCTAATGGAATTAAGTAACAAATAATTTCTTATTTAGTCTAACACAGTATCTCAATCTTTGTGGCTACAGAAAAGTCACCCTGAGTTGTGTGATTGACTGCATGCTTTTTATTGCAGGTTTGAATCGTCTTCCCATGCTATTAGCATGAGTGCCTATTTGCGTGAGCAGAGAAGGGAGCTCTACAGCAGGAGTGGAGAACTTCAAGGTGGGAAGCTTGATAGCTCATTAGTTTGGTTGATTGCTTTGCCAAGTATCTGCAGATCCTGCCTGGATGGCTCAGAACTGTTGTTAGCTCCTCTCCAGCAAACCATATGCAGGGCCATAGTCTAAGGCCATGTCTACACTAGCGCTTATGTCGGCAAAACTTGTTGCTCAGGAGTGTGGAAACCTCCCTCCCTCCCCCTCCCCCCGGCGGCATGAGTTTTGCTGGCATAAGTCCTCATGTGCACAACGCTGTGTTGATGCTCTCCTGTCAACATAGCTACTGCTGCTCGTTGAGCTGGTTTTATTATGTCAACTGGAGAACTCTTTCCTATCGGCTAATGTGGCTACATGAACACTCTTACAGCGGAACAGCTGTAAGCTTGTAAGTAGACATGGCCTTAGACTCTGTAAACTTGGCCATTTATTTACTCTAGGTAGGAAGGCAAACACTTGTATATTTTCTTTTTTCCCTTTCTAGCCCCACATACTATAGGTGTGAGTTTAAAAGGACACTCATAAAACAACGACTTAAAAGAAAAAAATCTCACTCTAATTGATACTGTTGGAAGATTGAAACTGATGTTTGTTTCCTTACCTGAAATTTATTTCCACACTGGCACATGCACATGTAATATCCCTGGCTGGGTCATCTCCAGGAACTGAACTCTGCATCTGAAAGTATGAGCCTCTACTGCTTGAGCTAAAAGACCGTTCTTTTGCCATTGAGGCAGTAACAGGCACACAAATCTCTTTGCCTGATCCAAGCACTAGAGGGGGACAAAGAACCACAATGTGTTAATGTGGGTTGCATGTTTTTTGAAAAGGTAGATTTGGAAGGCTGAGCTGTTGCCATTAGTTTATGTTGCTCGTGAGAGATGGGGTTTGTAAGCTGCTATAAAATATATATTGTGTGTGTGTGTGTGTGTGTGTGTGTATATATATATATATATATATATATAATAATAGTGTGC